AAAATAAGATGACTGAAATGTAAAATGGGAATATGATGTAAACTTTAATATGCATAATAGAAGATGTAAAATTGGGGTTTTCATGAGCTGTAAACCATAATCATCACAATTATGACAAATCATGGCTTGAACTATCTTGTTTTGCATGTAATGAGTCTATCTCATATATTAGTATCACATTTTAAGTTGCATTACTGAAATAATTGAACTTTTCCATGATATTCTAAATTTTCGAGTTTCACCTGTAGGTCTGAGTGAAACTGGACTCCCCATTCATGGGAAATCCCATGAATACCTATACCACTGTCTTTTTGACCAATAGGGAACAACTGGGATGACTTCAGATACATGTTCAGTAGAAAGACATAGAGGAGCTCTTGGGACAATTCATTTTTAGGGCAGTCTCATCTGAGACTTTGTCTGTGGGGACCTAGGAGATGTATTGACCCAGGTTATGGTTGGCAACAATGTATAGCTGCCTATTGGAAAGTGACAAATCTTGCAGTGATTTTGTAAGTTCACAGCAAACAGGTGGGGACAAAGCTGGACTGCAAATTCCATCAAAAAGGAGCCCATTGATTGGGGAAATCGCTGGATCGTCCTATCTTTCTCTTTGGGCTCCTAGTAAACGTTAAATAATGACAGTGTAACAGGCAAGAGAAAATAACTTCTGAGACTGAGACCTCACAGAACAAGGAATTCCCCCCCCCAAAATAAAAGCAACTAGCAGGAAATGGGCTCCCCTGATTTCTGCAAACCAATTTCTTGCAGCTCTCATTGTTTCCAGCAGTTCTTTGCTCAGTCATGCGTAAGCTGATGCTATACATGTATAACCAGATCTGTACTATGTGTCCTCGGATTGTTTCTGACTTCTTCTTATATTTCTTCATCTTCATCTTAGTTAGCCTCTTTTCATGTAATTCTGTTTGACTGATATTTTATCTGGCTCTTTAAGAGGTTCATTGCTACGGGGATCAGAGAAAAGTGCTTGTCAATGACTAGTTACTTGATTCAGTGAATGCTCTAGATTGAGAATGGACTATGTCAGTGATGGCTAACCTTTTCTGGCTCCCATGCCAAAAGCGAGAGGAGCACGGGGGGTCATGTGCGGGCATGCCACACCCATAATGCTATGCGCTCATGACACCCCCCACGCACATGTGCGTGCAACCAGCGCCCCCCTTTTGGCGTGGTTTTTCTGCCCTCCCCAGGGTCCAGAGGCTTTCTTTTTATCTCTGATTATGGAGTGCAATTCACCTCTCAATTCTGGCAAGTGTTCTTGAAATTACTAGAGACTACCCAAGGTCTTAGCTCCTCCCATCATCTTCAGAGTAACCGTGCCTATGAATATGCCAATGGTGTATTGATACAGTACTTGACGTGTTATGTCAATTATCAGCAGGATAATTGGGCAGACTTGCTCTCATTTGCAGAGGTGGCATATGCAGTATATAGCAGCACTGGCTTTGTCCCTTTCCGAGTTGCAACTGACAGAGACTTTGTTGCCATGCCAGAACTCCCAGTGGAGGTACCTAAGTGCAGAGTACTGAACAGAGTAGGAGAAACAATTGCAAATTACATAACCAGTGATTTGCCAGGCATTGGCTGAGGTCGGAGAAATATGCTGACAAAAACAAAACCAACAGAAAAAAATTGAAGTAGAGAATGGAATTTATTTGTCTACTAAGTATTGGCAGTCTGTTCTGACCAGCCTTCACAGAAGCAAGAAACAGACTCCCCACAAAGAAAAAAATTATCTCTAATTGCACATTGGGAACTAGCTGCATTCACCAACAGAAAGTCCAGGAAAGAGTTTGACAAAGAGTTAACTAAAGCTCATCAGAGTTAACCTTATCAGCTCATTAAGATAAATGCAAGGTTATTGTTATATATGCAAATGTTCCCTGTTACCAGCTCTCTGATTGGCTGGTCATTATCGATTCCGCAGAGCCTGGAATAAGAATAAAACTAAACAATAAGCCAGTCGCAACGCAACCA